ACAGACTGTCTATGTCATGGCGAATACAGTCGCTGCTTTATTTATGTCTGTATGACGCTGTTGTGAGTGTGGACGGAGCAGCTACAGGTTAGTTTAGCCTGATCGATCCGCCCCCTCTCCAGCACGTCTTGTTTGAATGACAGGAGTAAACACTGACAGCTGCGGTGAAACTCGACAACAAAATGAACATATTGACCGTGATTTAATTGTAATACACGTTTCAAAGTGATGCCGAAGTAACTACATACTGATACCGGTTAGTAAAAACCATGAATTAATGCTTTGACAAGTCTGCAGACAAGACGGCAGGCGAAAAGCTTTTAAAATGCGTGTTTTCTGAATGGAATCGGATCCATCAGGCTAAACTAACCTGTAGCTGCTCCGTCCACACTCACAACAACGTCATACAGACATAAATAAAGCAGCGACTGTATTCGCCATGACACAGACAGTCTGTGGTTTGTACTTGTTTAACTTTTGTCCAGTTTCTGAACAGATATGAGGAGCTGTGAGCTCTGAGTGTGTGCTAACAGCTAACGGTTGATGTGTTGGGACATGTTGGCTGTCGGGTGCTGACCGATCACGAAGCGTCATTTCTTGACTGGCAGCAAAAACAACCAATCACAGCAGTGCTTCTCTGGCTGGCTCTGTCCAATCACAAACAAGAAGTGTTCTCCCTAAAGGAATACCCTTTCCGTCCAATGTGAAATGCTGTTGTGCTTTCTGAAATGCTGTTGTGTTTTCTGAAATGCTGTTGTGTTTTGTGAAATGCTGCAGCGTTTTGTGAAATGCTGTTGTGTTTTCTGAAATGGTGTAGCGTTTTCTGAAATGCTGTTGTGTTTTCTGAAATGGTGTAGCGTTTTCTGAAATGCTGTTGTGTTTTCTGAAATGGTGTAGCGTTTTCTGAAATGCTGTTGTGTTTTGTGAAATGCTGCAGCGTTTTGTGAAATGCTGTTGTGTTTCTGAAATGCTGTTGCGTTTTCTGAAATGCTGTGGTGTTTTCTGAAATGCTGTTGTGTTTTCTGAAATGCTGTGGTGTTTTCTGAAATGCTGTTGTGTTTTCTGAAATGCTGTTGCGTTTTCTGAAATGCTGTGGTGTTTTCTGAAATGCTGTTGTGTTTTCTGAAATGCTGTGGTGTTTTCTGAAATGCTGTGGTGTCTTGCACTTCCGGGCCACCGTATCAGACAATTGTTTTGTCTTTTGAGGTACAGCCGCAGCAGAGAGTCTGAGTTTGAAGAAAACCCTACAATTGTATTCAGTGTTGTTTAATCAATCAATATTTACTGGTCTTGAATTTCCTCACTGGATTACAAAATGCTCGAATCTTATTGTACAGGGACATTATGCAGATTTCATCAACTGAAGATGAAAATATAGATTCAGCGATATGTACCATTTTAAGGAAATAGACTGTTAGCGGTATTGACCGAAGTTCCGCAGCTGTAGCTAAGCGCTGCTAATGAAAACTCAAGTGCTCAATTTGTTACTTTTGCTTTTTTATTAAGAATTGACAAAGCATATCTTCCTCTTCGAAATCCCAGTTGTACTTCGCTAACACGCAGTGCCTGCGAGAGTGCGTTTGATTGTTCCCACCCTTACCCTCATTTATGGACTAGGTCATGGTAGACAAGCAATCCAGTGGTTAGTTTTAGGGTAAGGGTTTTTTTATTTATTCACTTTAAGAGAAAGGGATTTCAGAAACAAGTCTCACAAGTTTGCCTCAAGGTAACATTAACAAAAGCTAACTGTTGTTAGACTATGTTCCCCGCTTCTAAACTTATGAAATGAATGAGAAAAATATGAACAACTCTTCATAGAGCCACATCCACACAGCTTTAAAGTGGTAGGAAGCTGAAGCACTGCATTCGTGCCAGCGCCTAGTTGTAGTTTCTAAGGTATTAGAAAGTTGTTTTTTCTGGAAGGGGTTTAGCATTTGATCAATTCCCTTGGGATGCCATCAAGAACTGTTTTTACAATCAATAGTGTGTTTAAGTTTCCAACCCTGCTTCAAAGGTCCATCATACAAGATGGGGGATCTATTGGCAGCTGCTGATAATAACATTCATCATTATGGTTTACTAATTGTTGTCTTTTTGTCCTCTAGGTTGCACTGCCACATCTACAGTAGCGCAGAATGGACAGAGGAAACATGATTGGGCCTCAAGTTTTTTGCAGCCAATATACATTCTCCTACAAACTTGGGATAGGAGGGTGAGTGAACAAGTTATCCATTGGTTGGAACCTACCATTGTTAGACGTACTAAATCCTGCACACTGCTCCTTCAAATGGACAATGTGAACATATGTCTCCATTTTGTAATTTCTGTTATTTCAGTTGAGAATGTTTCAAAGTAATCTTAAAAAATTAAACTTACTTTTTGTTTATACTGTTTATAAGTAGATGTTTAAATATTAAATGCTGTATTCATTAATGGTTGTATAATTCTACAAATATTTTTATATTTTAAGTTTTAACATTTTTATAGTAATTGTTCCCTACAGAACATTTTGTGCTGTCTTTTTATTGAACGTCTTTGATTGGAAAATGTTAGAAAAAAGCTGTAAAATAACAGTATTCTACCTGTAGAACTTTAGGTTCTGCATTTACTTTTGTGTTTGATCATAAAAATCTAATAAAAAAAATGTAAAAAACAGTTTTTCTCATCAGAACTTTATTTAAGGTATTTGAATGTAACATTTTAAGACAATGGATTTTGAAAAGAGAGGAAACATCTGTAACACTACAATGTTTTCCTGTAAAATCTTTAAGGACAATTCCTGTTTATTAATTGCTTTAGCACTTTATTTCAGTGAAAGTATTTTACTTTAATTTAAGGGTTTTTGTTTGGCAGTTTTCTTTTTTACAGTGTAGCCTATTTGATTTGACCCAACTGGACTCACGGGTGAGATGCTTTTTGTGCATTTTTGCTTGCTGTATGTGGATGACGTGATTAGTCATGTCATCCAATAGTATTTGACAGGAAACCATTGTATGAGCTTCCTCCAGGAAGGACCGGAGCTGGGGAGTACAGTTATGCACGTCTATCATTGTAAATTGACAGTAAATTGCTGGCTACTCATCTGCATTACTTTCACAGTACACATTGTACATTCACAGTAAATTACTGGCAACTCTTTTGCATTACTTTCACAGTACACATTGTACATTCACAGTAAATTACTGGCAACTCTTTTGCATTACTTTCACAGTACACATTGTACATTCACAGTAAATTACTGGCAACTCCTGCATTGCTTTCACAATAGAAATGTAAAAGTACAGGCCCTTGTTGTAATGCATGTACAACAAAATGATGTAATTCCCCAGTAACATACTGTAATATCACAGTAATTCCTTAGTCATTGAAGCTGTGAAGTTACAGTATACAGTTTTACCTTTACAACAATGCATTGTAATATCATGGGTGTGAAATTACAATACATTGCTGTGAAGACATTCACAGCAATGTATTGTAATATCATGGGTGTGAAATTACAATACATTGCTGTGAAGACATTCACAGCAATGTATTGTAATATCATGGGTGTGAAATTACAATACATTGTTGTGAAGACATTCACAGCAATGTATTGTAATATCATGGGTGTGAAATTACAATACATTGCTGTGAAGACATTCACAGCAATGTATTGTAATATCATGAGTGTGAAATTACAATACATTACTGTGAAGACAATCACAGTAAATTGCTGTGAATCTTACTGTGAAAGTCATGCAAAAATTGGCCAAGTATTTATTGTGAATTCACGGTGAAAGTTTTTACAGTGCACCTACTTCTATAGAGAGGCGAAGTCCCTCCCTTTCCGGGGGACCTCCATGGGACCTTATTTCGGAAAAAGTATGCATTGAAGTCAATGGGGAGAGAAAGATTATCTTTCGATCCCGTTTGAATTGAGCCACGAATTATGATGTTTGTCAATTTAAAAGATAATTTTACAAGTCAAAAGAATAAAAATGTGTCGTAAAAATGTGAAGTAACACTTTTTTTGTGTGAAACCTCTCAATGAACTACCTCTCCCGTCTCGCACCACACACCAAGACGGCCGTCACGTTGGTACATTTCACTTCTTTCTTTCAGAATGAGGCGGAAAGTATTAAAAGAGGTGAAAATCACTCCAAGTCTGGGCATGTTGAGAGCTGTACATACACACAAGGGGAGTTAGTCGTTCCGTAAGAGCCAGCATGCGGGACCGGGATTCTGGGATTTGTAGTCTTTCTAGTTGCGTATTTTTCATAGTCTTATATTTCAACAGTTTTACGACAAACTGTGACTTTTTTGACATGGAAATTATTTTTTAAGATTGACAAACATGATATGTGTAATTCATGGCACAATTCAAACGGGATCGAAAGATAATCTTTTTCTCTCCATTGACTTCAATACAAACTTTTTCCGAAATAAGGTCCCATGAGTCCCACCGGAAGGGGAGGGACTTCGCCTCTCTATAGTAGAAGTTGTTGCAGATAAATAACAACAATACATGATCATTTCCTGTTTGAATGAATCTTTAACGTTTTTGGATATCTTGTATAATAACTGAAACCCAGTATATTATAAAGACTATACTTTATAGTGTACTGTATATACAGTAAAACACAGTATATACAGTATTTTTAATATGTGCTATAGAATAGGGACACAGGTCTCAGTCAAAATGCTGAGGATATTTGTAGATATACCTTGAAGCTAAAGATCAGAACACTTCTTCCTGGAAGCTCAGTCAGTGAATGTTGAGCTGGTTTCCATGGAAATCAACTGTCCCAGTCTTCAGCTTAACTAAATAAAGGTTTTTCAGATTGACTTTAACAGTGAGATGACATCTCAGTTACCGTGATATTATTCTTTTGAGTGGAAAAAACCTTTGGGGAAAATGTTGTTATTTACACGCCAGACCGAATATAAAGGTACAAATCTAAATCTACAGTGAATACAAAACAAAAACAGGAGAATATGATAACAAATATTTTCCTCCTCAGACCCATCATGCTGTGCGGTGGTCCCTGGTCAGGAGATGCTGCTGGAGATCTGTAAAGGAAGATCAGGACTTGGACTCAGTATAGTGGGAGGAAGAGACACCCAGCTGGTAACACACACACACACACGCGCACACACACACACACACACACACACACACACACACACACACACACACACACACACACACACACACACACACACACACACACACACACACACACACTTCTATAGTGATGTTTACTTATTTACTTAAAAACAGCTGCTCACTGAAGTTTTTATTAAACCAAACACTAGAAATTGTGCATTTGTTAGGGACTATTTTCAGCGACGGATGAATCCATATTTGGTGCTCTGCTGAGTATTTGTGGCAGCAGGACAGTGTGTGTGGGTTTGAGCCAGAACAAAGTACAGTGTGTGTCCATGAGAAAGAAGGATACGTCACACAGTGTAGCTCTTTCGTGTGTTTTTAATAGTTTTGGGCCAAAAAGTGTGCTCTATGGCACAGAAGAAGAATATTCATCAAGCTTTGATACACACAGTTCTTGTTACTGTAGCAGATATAATCACTGTTGGTTTGAGTCTGAACATGAAAGCACATTTTGAATATCACCTGAGTTTTACATCAACATTTAGCTCTCTCTCATAGTTCCTCTCGGTCTCTCAATTAGGACGCCATAGTGATCCATGAGGTTTATGGAGAAGGAGCAGCAGCCAGAGACGCACGGCTGTGGGCAGGAGACCAGATACTCGAGGTACTCACACAGTACTACAGTACAACTAGTACTGTTAACACCTGTCCTGTCTTCTTGTCTTGATTTGGTTTCTTACCTGCTAAAAATTCTGATTTAATATATTTAAACAAAAACAAAAACAAATCCCTAGTAAGAGACAACACTGTCCCATTTAAAAACTCTTTTGTAGTTGACCTACAAAATTATAATATGAGTTTACATCATAATATTAGGCCATGTGTTGCATTCTGTAAAGTTGATTTCAGGTTTTAACAGCAAATCAGGTATGAGAGATGTATTCACTGTCTCTGAAATATGGGCTCAGAACAGTCTCATAATGCACACATGCACACAGAAGGAGTCACACTTGTATTTCATGATCCACAAAAGGAGTCACACTTGTATTTCCGGATCCACACTTGTGTTTTTTTTCACACAAATGTGTTCCGTTTCATATACATGTAAATAAAATCCAAATACAGCAAAAAGTTTTACATATGTATTTTTGATCCTCACATATTTGTTTTCCGTTTAAAACCGCTGCACCTACAAACACAAACCGCTTTCTGTGCATGGATCGCTGTGCATTCGTGTGTGGGGTTTTTTGAGACTCCCCGGACGGTGACCCGATTCGTACTTGTAATTTTTTCTATCCAAATCAGATGTCTCCTCAATTCTAAGCCAATCACATGAGCACGCCCCCACGAGGGTAGATTTCTTGCATTCATGACGTAGCGCTTCATGTACGCATTTTGCGCTGTCCGGAGCTGACAGGTCCATGGAGCCTGCCTGCAGGCGCTAATCTCAGGACCGAAGGACCGTGGTATAGTCGTCTTTATTTTTACGTCATTATTATTCAAAGATAAATAAGGAAGTGTGTGTTATATGAGATGGCAGAGAGGTTTCAGCTCCGATTATTAAATCAAAGAGGCTTAATATTTTCGATTATATTATTTCACTATAGCTATGTGGACGGTATCAAGGTCCAATGTTGACTAAATTAATCAATAGCGGGTGTAACTAAAATACAAGATGTCTTTATTTATATATATATTATTAATAATAATAATATAAAAGATTGTATTTGCGTGCATTTCCTGTTCGGAAAGTGGCGCTGTACTGAGAGTGGCGATTTTATTTTGTAATTATATAATACTTGTAATAATGGTGCGTTCACACCGGACGCGATGCGAATAATCGCTCGAGTTTCACGGCGGCTGTCAGCTGTGTCTACTCGCCTCATTGATCACAGGGTGTTTCTCAATCGCGAGTAAAGCTGCTTCAGAGCCACTATTTCAAGCATACTACGTCATCGAGTGCCGCCGAAGTACTGTTCCAATCTCCAGCATACTTGGAAATCTACCGAGCCCGGCGTACTCCGTTTGGAGAAATATCGAGTGTGCACATGAGTAGACTTCGCGGTCTTAAAATCCCCACAATGCTTTGCGCACGGACCAATTTCCCCAAATCTGTGGCGGAAGATGTAAGGCGGGGCCTCTCATATGACGCACACCTGCACACTTGCTAGCGTGTTCCTCTCTTTGTTTTCCGAATGTCAGGAAGTATTCTTGACTCGCTTCTGAAGCAAGATGCTCGGCAGACATGTGCTACCAAGCAAGCGTACTCGACATTGAGAAACACCCTGAGTCAGCTTCTCGAGCTGTTGTCAGTACCATATGTGTTCGCCCTACCATATGTGTTCGGGGTCCGTCGCTTACCAATGACGTCACGCATTGTGATTGGCTGTATGGTAATCGCACGCTGATTGGTGTAACTAGGGGCGCTGACTAGGGTATACCGGGGGTCTGATCAAAGGATGAAGCTGTTAACGTGCTGCTACCATAAACTGGCTGTAGCCCACAAACTGAAGCAGAATGATCTAGGGCTGTCCCGAATACCATTTTTCGGGCTCCGGATATTCGGTAGTAATCAGCAGCGAATATTCGAATATTCGGCCCGCGCGGGGGGGCGTAGTAATCAGCAGCGAACTGCTTCAACACGTGTATTTCGGTGTATTCACGGCATTCATTTTGTTATTCTACAGTATTGTTGTTTTATAGTTATTTGTTAATGTAACCCAATTTGTGTTCTTTGAAATTGAAAAGGATATCGCATTGTGTTTGTTACTTTCGTTGCAGTTGTATAGGTCTTAAGTGTAATTTGGCTTGGCTTCCTATTTATGGACATGCTTTTATTTTGAAGGAGAGTTAGCGCAGATGACAGGAAGTTGTTGTTGCTTTGGAAACAACGTGACAGAGATTAACGGAGAAAAGTAATATCTACATAATAAAGACGGAGAAAGTAAACGATAACGTTTATGGTTAAGTCTTAGCACCCCCCCGAAGAGGCACAAGCTCTTACGTTGATATTGGAGATTTCAATAAATTCAATTTGAAAAAAAACGAATATCCGAATAACGAAATTGAAACCCGAATAGTACTCCAACGAACGAATATTCGGGTACAGTAGGGCTGTAGTATTCGGGTACAGTAGGCCTGTACCCGAATACTATAATAAAGTTATAGTAAATAATAACAAACTCCAGTGTTAGAATTCCATAATTCCATATTCATAAATAAAATGATATGCAAATAACATTTTCTTGGCTGTGGACTTGTACTCTACATAATTATGTTGAGCTCATGGTAATCTAATTCAATAAACAATAACTGCAATGAACAGATAGCATTTTCTGACTCGTAAAATGATTGGATATGGTGTAATTTGGTAAATGATTCTGTGTTGAAAAATGTATATCTTTAAAAACTGCGTTGGTGTATTAGGGCGGGCCATACTAATTGTTTTTTGTAAAACGATCGAGAGGGGTGTTCAAATAACGTAATTTGGTGTGTAGAACACACATCTATTTAGATTTATTTATTTTGAAGTTGTTGCTATGGAAACAACATGACGGAGAAAAAAGTAATATCTTCTACATATAATAACGGGCAAAGTAAAGAATGAAGTGTATGTTTAAATGTTAGCACCCCCCGAAGAGGCTCAAACTCTTACGTTGAGTCTGGAGTTTCAATACATTCGGAATTTGACCGTGTAAAATGCCCTCTTGGGTTACCGTACAGCCAATGCGTGACGTCATTGGTAAGCGTAACGGACCCCGAACACATCTGGTAGGCCGAACATATATGGTACCTAGACCGTATCTGGCCGTGCAACACTTATAGTCACATACTGTATGCAGAAGTGTTATTTTAAACAACACATTAAGTTGACGAAACACTGGAGTCAAATGTAGGCTAATTAAAGTCAGATCCACTCGTGTCTTAGATGGGGCAGTGATATCATAAACCTGTTAATGTACGCATTCAAACACTAGGTGGTTTTTTTGTACCAGCTGTATTCACCTTGCAGGTGCAGCTGCTTTATCCTGGATTAAGTGTTTAAGTCATGGATGTTTAAAGTTGAACTTCTTCATATTTGTCTGTTATTATAGTTTACTTTTCATTCATGAAGTAGGACGCTGCGCTGCCAGTACGCTTGTCCCTGTTTGTGATTGGTCAAATGTTGCTCACCCCGTCCCGCTCTCGGCCGGACAGAGAAACCCTGGGTTGATTTACCGAGTTGATAGAGAAGCCCCTCAATGCAGTGCGCAATGCCTCAATGAGCTCAATGTGGGCGGGAGCTCAACGTGGGCGGAGCTTCACAGATGACGCGTTGCATCCTGTTTCCCGTTAGCAGTACTCTTCCCTCCCTTCAATCTAACCTTTCCCTTCCCCCCATCCTAACCCTAACCCAGGGGCGGACTGGTCACTAGCACCCCCCACCCCCCCCGTCGACAATTTCCTCGCGGTATTTACTTGTGGCACCGAGGTGGGCCGGTCGGATAACTCACTAGCACCCCCCCCCCCCCCGTTGATAATATGTATGCGGTATGCGGTACCGAAGTGGGCCGGTCGAGAGTCCCGGGCTGATTTGTAATCCCAATCCTAATCTCCCTTCCTCCCTCCCAAACCTAAACCCCAAAACCTCTCCTACTGTAAGAAATTAAAATCAATGTTGATATGACGTAATTTAAATTAAATACAGGGTTTTAATTTAAAGCAGTTTTATTCTGAAAAAAACGGAAGTTCACACTAACTATTAACATAACACTTTTATTCTGAAAGGTCTTCATTTCCGGTTAGCATTAGCATGTGGCTAACGTTGTGAAAACCGTGAATTGAAGGTGAAATGACATGTGATGTTGTACACTAAACACACTGGGATTAACACTCATTTATTGATGCTGAAATAACGTTTATCAGGGAATGTTTAAATAACCACAGACATCAGAATTATATATATATTAATAATATAAAATATAATATGTTACTTTTGTGACTGGGTAAGTACACAACACGGGAGTCGGGACGTCACGTGCCTCAAAGGTAGAGCTCCCGCCCACATTGAGCTCATTGAGGCATTGCGCACTGCATTGAGGGGTACTTCAGTTGATAACCAGCATCGTAGACATACTTGCCAACATAGGCGGATTTTGCGGGGGGGAATTGTGGGGGGCAGGGGGGGCATTGTGGCTGAAATATGTTACAGCATTACTACGTCTAAAACTATTCCAATACAAATATTTCGTATATCAATATTTTAATAGATGTAATAAAATGATTGTTACAATACAAATCTGAATAATATCATGTTTTGTTTGAAATAATTTAATTATTATACACGTTATATTGTATTTCGTTGAAAAAGCCAAAACATCTAGCAGTTTACCATTGCAATCTAGTAAATCATTAACAAACAAAATACCCTTCTCATGCCAATCACTCCTAAACAAGGATTTTCTGTTTATAATAATCACTCTATTCAAGGTTCAAGGTTCAAGGTTCTTTATTGTCAAACTAACATAGCTACAGAGTAATTATGTCATTGAAAATCTTATGTCACAGGCTTCTCCAACAGTGCAACACAATAATACAGATAAGCAGACAATATTAACCAATATTAAAATATACTATATTAAAAGTAATACAAAAAGAAAAAGAGTAAAAAAAAAAGTGGGATAG